ATATAAACAATAAAAATAAAAATATTTTAATGGTATAAACTTTTAAATATTTATTTTTTAATTTTTTCTTAGGTATTGGACTAAAAAAGTTATTGATAAAAACCATTGTAACATTTTATTTTCAGATAGATAGTTTAAATATTTTGCCATCCCTCGAAATTTGATGCGTGARGTAATGTTATTATGTACAAAAAAAAAAAGTGGGTAAGTGGATGGCGCTCTGCTATACAGTAGTTTACAAATGAGCTACTGCTGTAATGGATAGTATTAAATTTGAATTCAATRATATGATATCATTGTATACAAAAAATSATTCTGAGTGGAGGCGGCTCGCCAGTCTAGGATATGTTATATACTATATTAAATATATTGTTATTGTTCAAAAAAAAATTTAAAAAAAATGTAGGTTCCTATAAAATAAATTCCAAATTAATCAAATCARATTCATTATGTACCTGACTCACTCAGTAATTCATAGTAGGTACATATAATTTATTTTAAAATAATAAGTATTAATATAAGTCATTAACGACAAGAAGACATTATATATTAATATTAGAATATGAAGTATACTCTAATTTCTAAATGTACATATATATATATATCTATATCTATATATTCTATATAATATATAAATCTAAATTTTAAGTACCGACGAATAATATTTTTAAATTACAACAATATAACTAAAATTGTTAGTCTCGATTATTTAATATATAATTACATCCGCATTTGAACTTAAAATAATTATTAGTGTTGTGAGGAGGGCGTGGCCGATTCTTAATCTGGTTATTATAATTATTATTTTTGATTGTGTCCTGCAGGGATTTACAGGGCCGGCGGAAGGCACGTGYGACCTGTGCGATCGCACAGGGCGGCAATTTTTTTTGGAATTTTAGGGGCGGCATTGTTTATAAATAAAAATATGTATTTTTCACCATTACTCACTGTAAATCTAAAATWAAAATAATGCTCATTATATTATTTTGACTGGAACTATGTCATTGTATGTAGTACTTAAGTAAGAATTATTAGTAGATAATTAGATATAATATAATGTGCGG